TGCTCCCTGGGAGCCTGCTCTCTGTGCCTGACGCCCTGGCCATCCGTGCAGGCTCTCCCCCGTGGGTGTATCTGCAGTTGCCCTGTAGCAGCTTTAAGCGTGGCAAGGCCAACATCGTCAATTCGGCAAAAGACCAGAAAGTCTCGAATGAGGATGAGGAACAACCTCAGCGTTCCCAGCCTGAACCCATTCTGAAGCCATGAATCAGGGCCCCAGTGTTTCTGGGAGAGTGAATATGTCTGTATACATACCCGCAGTAAACCGTGTCTCTTCCCTCAGTCCTACAATCTACCTCAATGACTCTTCTTTATGTCTGTAAATGTATCCACACACACTTTACACAAATGGGGAAGGACCTTGTGTTGTTTAACACAGGAAGTGGAAGACTGGGAACGTCAGTTGCTCTTAATGTTTCATGGGCTGCCTCACATAGAGGGATTACCTGTGCTCTCCAGGTGCAGAGGAGTTGGAGTAACAAATGGCATCTTCAGACACTCCACCACAGAGGTGTAAAGTGTGGCCAAGTCCAATCCTCATGGCTTTCTCCTCCACCTCAGGATTTCCCTGCGCTCAGAAGCAACGTCCCTGCGGTAGGCACCATAGATCACCGTGGGCCAGCGAACCACAAAATCTGTTCCAGTGCTTGGCTCTCACGGTTGATGGACTGTAAATGCAGAGAAGCAGAAAATCAGCTCTGCACCCGGGCACTTCATCAGGCAAGGGTTCAACAGTTTAATACGTCTATAACTTTCTCCTCTTCAGTAATAGAGCAGTTCCCAAATATTGGTTCAGTCAAAGGTGGGTATGTCATCTTGGTAAAGACCCCCGTCCATATTTGACAATGAAAGCATGGCTAAAACTCACCGTTCGGGTCACCTACTTTCTCTTTACTCCTTGCTTCAAGGGCACACGGCAATAGGCTACCTACCTACTCAACCCCCATATTTGCACACATGCTAAAGATGAAATCATATTTCTTTTCTATAGTAGGTGTAAAGTCCTTTAATCTAGTCAAGGTTTACTCAAAATTCTATGTGCCAAATTATCAAGAAATTCAGTACATCTTTTTTGAACTCTCCATGCTACCTGTGGATACCTTCCCCGGAGAACTGGTGCCAGACTCACTAACTCTGATTTCAAAGACCAGGTAGACAACGACAATGGAGTGCCAGTAACCAGAAATCTTCAGGTTTGGTGATTCCTCTCCATCTACTGTCTGCCTGACACACCTTTGTCTCACACGGTGCTGGTTTGTTCAGTGGCTCTGCCACCTGACCTGACCCTCAAGGACCTCCCCACTGCAGACACAGGGGTCTCTCTCTAGCTTTTATAACCAGACATTAAGGCACGACTGATATGTCAAGGTGGTTGGGTTCAGAGGATACTCCAGCCTTGGCCATACCACACAGGAGCCAGTCTCCCCCACGAGCACACAATCCTTCCTTCCAAGGCTCCACAGGGTGCATTCTGTCATGTGGCCAGTCCACTTCTACTGTGGTCTCCTGCTCTACCGGGAGACAAGACTCCTAAGCAGGTCACGCCACACTGCTCATCTGTGTGGGGTGACCCTCTCCTCAGTAGAACCAGGGCACCTTCATCTCCTTGGACCCTGAGTGGAAGGGTTAATTTGGGGGTGTAAAGGTAACTAGACTAAGGAACACCTAGAAACCTAGTAAAACATTATTCTGAGTGTCTGTGAGGGTGATTCCAGAGGAGTTCAATGTGTGAGTCTAAGTAGAGGAGGGGAAGATCCACCCTCAGTGTGGGAGGAGGCCCTCCACTCACCAAAAGGCCCAGGAGAACAAATGCAGAAGACTGAGGGGTCCCTTTGGAGATATACACCTGCTGGTGCTTTGGACAGCAGAACTTAGGGCCCACCTGCTTTGGGACTTCAGAATTTTTCCAATGTCCCCCCTCACCCAGGATTCTCAGTCTTTTGGCCTCAGACTAAGACCTCTACCATAACCTCCTGCCTATGAGTCCTTCAGAAGTAGACAGAGACACATTGCCAGCATCCCAGGGTCTCCAGTTTGCAGACAGCATGTTGGGGTCTCAGCTGCCGTAATCACAGGAGCCAACTCTCCTACTAGAGCCCTCTCAGGGGTCTATGGGCATGCTTTCTTGTCTCTCTCTGAAGAACTGTGGTGTATTCACTTAGGTCACACTGTCCACCTGCCTGGTCACCATGGCAATTCCACATATGAAGGGGGCAAACTTGGTCAGACTCACCAGGTCATGAGTGGCTACTTGTAAAATATTTCCATAAAAGACCTGGCAGACCGAAGGTAGATCTTCTCCAAGGTGGCTTGTCTCACTATGTTTTGGTGTAGCTAAGACCCAATCAGCAAGCCATACACAATTTCTGCACACTGTCTTTCACATACATACACACACTCAAATAGCGTATTAATTAAACAAATCAATAAATGATGTATATACTTAAATTAAAAATGCCTCAAATTGTCCCCAGTTCATAGAGCAAGTCCTTTTTGGTACTAAGCTTACTGTTATTCATCGTTATTATTTTCAAGTAATATATTTCATATTTATATGTTTCTTTGCTTTATTTTTATACATTACTATATTATATTTCTCTTCTCTATGTATTTCTTTTCCTCATTAGAAATTTTCTCTCTTATTTTTATTTATTTATTTATTTATTTAAATTTGCTATGGGGTACATGAGCTGAGCTTGCCAGAGAGAGAGGGAAAGTGAGAAAACACTCCCCAGGGCGAATGACCGTACCATAATCCTTTCTCCTCTATTCTTTTCTAGGGATTTTGGCCATGCAGGAAACAAGTTGCCACCTCTATAGGCACATATATTTGCACCCAGAATTCTGAGAATGGAGGAGAAGGGACCGTCATGTGGCCATCCCCCTGGGGTGTGATTTCTCCCTTTCTGTCTCTCCAGAGAGTGCATATGCCCTATAGCAAGAATCTTTCTCAAAGAAAAGAAAAAGTTGCCAAATCCAGGACTGAAAGCACATAGTCAGCCATCCGCTCCTGCTGGACTGAAAGCACATAGTCAGTCATGTGGGCTCCTGCCGCCTTAACCACCGCACCGCCAGCCGGCCTGGAAAATTCTTTTGAACATTTTTTCAATTAAATTCTAGACTCAGTCCCAGCTATCAACCCTTTTGGTAGAAGAACCATGGCATTGTAGCCAGTAGTGATTGCAAAGAGCAGCCACAACCAGAGGATTACCTTGGGGAAGACTTTGAAGGAAGAAAAAGAGGCTGATCTTTGTCAGCAGATGGTATGTCACAGGACATTGGGTAGGCAGGGCTGAGTTAGGAAGGTTGATGCGTGAGTTGTGTGCTGGGTGTTTGCTATTCAACAGTTTGGGTAGTTGACATGTAAATACTTTCTCAAAAATATTTAAAATCATATTGAATCTGTTGTTATAGAGCCACAGACAAAATTATAATATTTTGAAATTTTAAAATTCAGCTTTATGAAATTTTAAAAGTTGTTTATTAACTCAAGAAATATGGAGTATGAGCAAAATTTTTTTTGATATGTAAAATAGATGTTTGTAGGAAAATGTAAAAATAAATAAATAAATTTTTTAAAAAGGAGCCATGTGTAGCCTCTTTAATATGCCTTATTGTGTGCATGTGAAGGCTAAAATGATGATGAAACTGTACTTCCAAGTCCTAAAATGACCTCCCCTCTGAGCCTGCTACCTTAACTACAGGCCAGGCTTTAGGCTGGTGCCGAGCACAAGGGTCTTCAAAAAGCTTGTGAAATGTGTATTATGAAAAACTATGCGTGGAATTAAACATTCTTTTGTGCTAAGAGAAACTCATACTAACTTGTTTGCAGTAAACCATTTGAAATTCTTTAGTACATTCTCCCCAGTGACTGGCATGTAACTTAGACGAAGCAAGAGGTGAATGGGAGAGGACACTGCAGCTGTAAGTGAGGATGAGAGCCTGAAGGTTCTTAAAGAACAAGGGCCAGCCGCAGTGACCCAGGGGTAATGGAGCACTCCACAGTGCTGAACCCTTATGAGAACGACCCGGTTCACCTACTGAGGCCTTCTTCTGCATGTTGGGTACACACATCCTTCCAGTTAGCCTGTAATCCAGGCTAACTGAGCCTGTGGGAGGATTGGAGCATGGAGTCCCTATAAGGGATACCATGCTCCCTCTTCCTGTCTCTCTATGAATGAATAAATGAATTAAATAAGAAAGGGTTTGGATTGCATTCTAACAGATGTAGGATATGTGGTTAAAATACAAAGCTGGTATTTTACAAAGTGTTAGTGTGAAGTTTGAGGATATTGGTCTTGAGCCAGGGGGACTGCCTAGGATGTATTTGAAATAATCTAAGAAAGAGACAAAGATAACTACTCTAGGATTATATATAAAGGACAATTTCCTTTTAAGGATAGCAATCAAAATGTCGAATGTGGCCATTGAATATTCTTCCTGCTG